TTGCGGGTTTGATCCCTGGCTCCAATGCCTATTGGAGGCAACCAATCCCTCCACTCTCTCTAAAAAAATCAATGAAAAAATACCCTCAGGTGAGAATCAACAAACAAACAAACACAGAGCAGGATTAGAGAGTATAAGAACTACGAAGTACAAAACTGTGTTCAAATCTCAACTGCCAACTGACCACCTATAGAACTGTGGGCAGGTTGTTTATCCTCTCTTAACCATGACTTTCTCATCTGTGAAATGGGGCCAACTATGCCTATGCATAAGTTTTTATATGTCAGGCACCCTGCCTGCGGCTACCCATGTGTGGTTAGTGGTGTTCGAGTTGTGGGCTGTCACTGGTGGTGCAGGTAGTATCACTGTTGTTACTGTTGGTATTTTTGTTAAATACCCACAAAAGGAGCCAGGACATATTTTAAGGTCTAAAAGACATCATACTGGCTTGACTAGAACAACTAGACTTGACACAAATTTTACATGAAGACATCATCTTGGGAGAAGAAATAATTCAGTGTTCAAACTCAAACAAATAACAGTTCAAAAGATACATGAAATAAACCTACAGACAAAAACAAAACAAAACATTTCAGCCATGGCATTGTTTTCCTGATTAGATCCCAGGACTTGACTTGCATTCACACTAGAAACTGGGATGCATTAAATGGCCTTGGTTTGGATTTGAAATCTCTCCCTTCCTAGCTCCTGTGGTCTTAGGAGAAGCAGGCAAGTAGTAGTACTTGCCTTCCCCATGTTCCAGCACGTCCCTTCTGTGCCCAGGAGAACTGAATTGCTTGAATTTGACCAAACACCAAGAGATCTTTTCATGGAAACTTAACCCAACTACATGGAAAAGAAGGGTCGTCATCTGCCTGAGCACAAGGATAAGGCTTGGATTTTAGTTTCAACAACAAAAATCAACCTCACCACTAGAGTGTAGCACCTGAATATAAAGTCACATTTTTTCATCAACAGCACAACTACAAGTAGACAATTTAGTTAAGGTCAATCTTGAATTGATTACAATGCAGTTCCCTTAGAAAGCCCAGTGGGGACAATTTTACTCAAGAAGGATCACTCATGACACACATGTGCCCTGGCTGGTCCTGTGACTAGAAACCTAAACACCCACAGTCCTCACTTCAGTTGCTATGGAGATACCATCACACGGTAACATTATGCCCCTAGCTTCTTAATCCACTTTAGATAACAAGTTCATCAAATCAAGTATATTTTCTGCCAGTTTCACTAAAACCCTGACATCACTCATATATGTCTCATTTGATAAATTCTGCTGAATTTAGTGCTAGCATAACGCTTGTTTTTCTTTATGAATGAGTGTCACTTAATTTATAAGCAAATGAGAATTAGAGAACTCCATGTATTTTCTGTTCTGTCTGAGCTGTGAAGTGTGAGTGAGGTTTTATGCCCTATCTCAGTAATTATTATTCTGGGGTTGGTTGGGGGTTTTGCATTTTTTTTAACACAACTTTCTTTCTGTTCCTTCCTTCTGTGATTGCTGGAGCTGCTGCAGCCATCTTGTTCAGACAGGCAGAAGGTAGTTGTCTGAAAACAGAGCTCACATAAAGGAAGCCAAAATAAGAGATGGAATGAGGGAAAATGGGATATCTTCATATCTTCTGAGCCCCTGGATCAAGCTGTACTTGAAGCAATACATGTAAGTGAATGTGTGTGTGTGTGTGTGTGTGTGTGTGTGTGTTTCTCATTTATATGAGCCAATAAATTTCCTTTTGGCTTAAGCCATTTTGAATTATATTTCCATTCATTTAGAAGTTCTGACTAACAAAGAAAAAACTGTTTGAGATTATCTGACAAGTACTGTCATTACTGTAATTCATTTCCCTTTAAACACACACACAACACTGGATACAGCTTTATGAATGAACCCAAGAAAGTACAACTTTTGGACATCATGTTTATGCCATGTCAAATTTATAATAAAAGCAGATTAAAAACACATTCTTTCAAAGGATTTAGCATTAAAGAAAGAAAAAAGAAGATAAAAAGCCTTTTAACTGCCCTTTTTATTGACAGTTCTCCATACGAGCAGAAAAGAGGAGCTTAGTAAAGAATTTTTAGACACAAAAGCAAGAAAAAGCACTGCAACATCTACAAGAAAACTAATTCTTCTGAGAAACACACACAGTGTTCTAACAGTGCACACCTGGAACATACCTGCCAGACCAAATCGGGATCAAAATTAAAACTTGGAGCTCCCTGCAAGAAGACAAATCACAAATAACTTCAATTCACTTTGCTTCCCTTCATTTTCATTCAGGCGACTTTAGCTCCCTGGCTCAGCTGGCTGGCGAGCGATGTGATGGCTACAAATGGCCCTCCCACGCTCGCCCCACAGAGATACAGCCTCACAACTCTCAAGTCCTGAGGGGCACGCAGAGCGTCACTGCACCTGTGAGAGCGTGGTTCTAAAGTGCTTGAGCCTGGGCCAGATGTCACAGATTTTCACAATAAATACCCTTCTGGAGTTGATGCAAAGTATATGTGTGGAGAAGATGAGGGGTCAGAAGGTCCCCCTCAGATTCACTAAGAAGCAAGGGATACATAGGGGTAACTTCTAAGGCCTTCATTCATGTCCTCTCTCTGAAACTACAGATCCAGTTTACTCTAGGAAAGCTCCCTTTAACTTCAGACTTGCCCAGGTGCTCTAGATAACACCGATGTTTACCCAAAGGTGTTTAAGTTGAAACACAAGAGTGTCTCAGATTCTACCCACCAGGATTAAGGGTCGGTTCTATTTGGTAGTCAACCCTATGGCTTGCAAAATATTGGTTTCCAGTATTCCCGCCAATTTAAAAGGGATGTAATATATGAAATCACATGAGGTCACAGCCTCTATCACAAGCTATACACATGGCTAAGTAAATGACCCTCTCCCAGCTGCCTCCATAATTCAATTTATGCATGATGAGTAGATGCTAATGGGACCCAGACTTCTCCACTGACAAAACAGAAGGCAGTGCTTTGTAAACAAGCAGGCATCAAAAAGACAACAGAAAAACTCCAGGCTCGATTCTCTGACAAATACATTGATCATCATTTGTCCTAAAAGTGTGTTCTATAAATCAGTATCATTGGCATCAGAAGAGAAAAACTCCAGACTCAGTTTGCTCATAATATACGGGTGTAAATTTGCCCTAAAAAAATAGTTTTTATTTCTACCCACGTAGCTAGCCTAAACAAATGCTTTTATTATTTTTCATTTTCGAACAAAATATGATACTAAAAACAGCAAGCTAGAATCAAACATGTTCTATTTATAAAAGTCACAAATAAGTACTAATTGTCTTTATAGTGACCTCTACTAAGAAAACGCCCACAGCACTGGGAGAGATGTCATTCCTGGTTTCTCCAAAGATTTTTAAAACACACTCATTCTTTATTTTTTGGAAACAAATTGTTACATGCATCCTCTTTTCCATTACTAATTGTGCAGATATAAGTGTAGAGCTGGGCAGAAAGGGGACTGAGTGACTCCTTACAAAGAAATAAAATAAAATAAAAACATGTAAAATAAAATTTTTGGTCTTTTTTTCTTTTTCTTTTTCTTTTGTTTTTAAGCTTCAACAAAGTTTCAAGTTTGGTTCTAATGTAAAGTGAGGATGAAATCTCAGTTATAAATCACTCCCCTAAACCCCGACGCCCCAGGTGTAGAATAAGGTTCTTTTCAAAATGAGTTAAAATTACATAAATTCAAAACAAATTGATGAGCCAAAATTAGCAATTATTTTTTAATCTCACTGGCAGTTGGCCCCTTTGATGATATTTTTCAAACCAATTTGCTGCAAATGCATTATGAGTGCCTTGACTCATGAATCCTTGGGGAGATATATAGTTTGAAAGCAAATGTTCTACATTATTTCCACAAAAATCTACTTGGATGAAGACATTGCCGTTGACTAGAAAATAATCCCAAGTCAGAACTGTACATGCCAAGAACTCAATAGTTCATATTAATTTCTTTTCCCCAGGACATGGAAATTTTTTGGCAGACCATTCAAAATCATGTACTGCAAGACAGACAGAAAAATTATCATCATATCTGTAGGTCTCCTGATTCTCTTGTAGGCTGATGGTGACCAGCAAACTCTTGAGTGTTAAACTCAAGTGTGAAATTACTAAATTGCAAACATCTCTGTTACGGGTTTTTTTTCTTCTTTATGGAGCAATTTAAATCAAGAATTATTTGTTCTTAAGATAAATACTCTACTATTTGCTTCCTTTTGGCAAAAACTGGAAGTAACAAGACTTCACATTTCTGGATACTGACAAAGCAATTGGTTTTCATTTAGCTCTGTTTCTTAATCATAGATCATGACTTGGCCATCATCATTTACTTCATTATTCTTTAAATGCTCTAAATCCATCCAGGAGGATCTTTGATTCTTTTAACAGCATATTTCTATGCTTCTACAGCTAAAGAGGGTGCCTGGAGAGTATTTTAAAAATTATTACTTCCAGGCTTGGTTAGGAGAAAATACTGGAGTCAAGAAAAAGTATTATTCTTTGATAAGTAAATTTTGCTAATAGCATCATTTAAATTATTTAATGACTCAGTTGCATATAAAGTAGCTTTCTTTGCCAAATCGTAGTTTCTTAAGGTGTCTTTTCATTATACTGTGAGTGGGAGGAAATAAAGAATCCTTCCAGGTTTAGAAATTTACTTTTCAAGCACACACAAAACCTCCCTTAAGGTGGAAACCTCCCCATGCTCTGGAAATGAACCCAGCTCCTTTCAGCCAAGGGATAACTTGAGCCTTTATTCTCTTGCTCAGAAAAGGAATCTTAAAGGGCCAGGAAATTAAATGTACCCGGGAAGGAAAAAGATCCAGAATAAAAGCACTCACCAGGACACCTAGAGAAAAACACAACTTTCATTTCACATGTTTGTTAGCCACCATCAGTTAGAACAAACTCGGGAGGCACAGCTGTTTTTGACAAACGTGAACAGCTCCTACCTTCATTTCAATGACAGTCTGGAGAGCCTTCGTCTTGGCTGGCTCCGGCTGAAGTTGGCTTCTTCGGTGCAATTCCTGCGGAGGAACACGATAGAAATAAGCCTGACGGTTCATCCTCCTGTTACACCATGACCTTTACACAGGTACCACACAGCCCACCGGGTACAGGTTTGCTGTGCACAGACAGAAACAAGCCACAGGTGCCTCTTCCCCCCACCCTCTTGAGCATCCCTCCTGCCTGGAGCCCGAGTTCTGGTGAAAAGCTCCTGGCACATGCGCTATTTCTGAAACTTCCATCAATAATTAATGTCAACTGTGACAAAGCCAGCAAGTAATTATAGTCCAAATACTGTTCAACACTGGGGCTGTTGCCCAGCCATCAGATCATAATTTACTAAATTACATTGCCCTGTACTCCCAATACAAACACAGCAAGAAAACGGAGGCAAGAAATGACTAACGTACGTGTGGCATTTGGCTACTGAGCTACGTTTGAAATGAGCGATTTAAAACCTTTCCAGTATAACTGTGTCACTTTTTGGAGTGAACTGATCTGATGAAATCCTGTGAATCTTGTACTAACTAATTTACAGTTTTGGTCCTTGTTCAAAATCACGTGTGTGATGTGTTTCTGCAGTCGTGATGCTGAGAAATTAAAACTGGCATTAATAGCAACAGTGTTAGAGAAGAGGTAAAGAGGGTTACAGCCAGCCGTAGTCAAGAACTTCTGGAATATGATGACTATTTCTTTAGGTAAAAAGTAAACAATAAAATTGCAATTTTAGGCTTGAAGTCTCACTTTTTGCATGCCTCTTTTCAAAAGATTGTCTTGGCAGAAGAGAAAACAAGGTTTTTTCAGTTCATGCTTTGATTTTCATAATAATTATCAACAGTTTTATGAAAGCAGCCAATGATAGGAATAAACTCAAGTGCTCACACATGTGTATGCTGCTGATACAAGGTACCTACGAAATAATTCCATTAAGAATGATTTGACTTGACTTCGGTCAAGACAGCGGCGAAGGTAAACGTGGTCTCACCTCCTCCCACAACCACATAAAAATTACAACTAAACTACAACACAATCATCATTCAGAACCACCTAAAATCAAGCTGAATGCAAGTCCTACAACTATGAAATTAAAGAAGCAGCCAAACCGAGACAGGTAGGAGAGGCAGAGGGTGGACTGGCTGGTCCCACACCCACATGTGGCGGATACAAATCAGGAGGACACCTCAACTGGGAAGGTCCTCCCTGAGGAGTGAGGGGTCCCTGTACCACACCAGGCTCCCAGCTCAGGGTTCCAGTGGCAGGAAAAGAAGTCCCCATAACTTCTGGCTGGAAAAACCAGCAGGGTCTGAGGCTGAGGGAAGCTGAGGCTGTGGGAGCCCCAGGCAGATCCGCTTAAAGGGCCCCCGCATGGATATACTCAGACTTTCTCTCTCTAAACTCAGAGGGGAGGCAGCTTGAGGGGTGCCAGAGACATACAGTTGTCCCTCACCACTTCCCGTTTTGACTTGCACAGCTTCATCTATAGTGGTTTTTTCAAATATATTCATTAAAAAGTTGATCAAAGAATTAACATCATTAAAATGTCCATATTACCCAAAGCAATCTATAGATTCAATGCAATCCCCATCAAAATACCAACATTTCACAGAACTAGAACAAATACTTCAAAAGTTTATATGGAATAAAAAAAGACCCCGAATAGCCACAGCAATCTTGAAAAAGGACAAAGTAGGTGGGATCACAATATCAGATATCAGGTTATACTACAAAGCTACTGTAATCAAAGCAGGCTGGTACTGGCACAAGAACAGGCATATAGACCAGTGGAACAGAACAGAGAACCTAGAAATTGACCCAAGACATTATGCTCAATTAATATTTAACAAAGGTGGCAAGAGCATACAATGGAATAAAGACAGCCTCTTTAATAAATGGTGTTGGGAAAATTGGACAGCTACATGCCAAAAAAACGAAACTAGACCATCAACTTACACCATATACAAGAATAAACTCAAAATGGATAAAAGACTTAAATGTGACTCCTGAGTCTATAAAAATCCTAGAAGAAAATGTAGGCAACAAAATTTCAGACATCATACGCAGCAGAATTTTCAATGATATATCACCTAAGGCAACAGAAACAAAGGAGAAAATGAACACATGGGACTACATCAAACTGAAAAGCTTCTGCACAGCAAAAGAAATAACCATCAAAATGGAAAGGTAACCCACTATATGGGAGAGCATAGTTGCCAATGTTACATCAGATAAGGGGTTAATTTCCAAAATATATAGAGTACTCACACAACTCAACAAAAGGAAGACAAAGAACCCAATTAAAAAATGGGCAGAGGAACTAAAGAGACACCTCTCCAAACAGGACATACAAATGGCCAAGAGACATATGAAGAAATGTTCAACATCACTAATCATCAGAGAGATGCAAATCAAAACAACAATGAAGTATCACCTCACACCTTTCAGAATGGCCGCCAACAACAAATCATCAAACAACAAGTGTTGGCGAGGGTGTGAAGAAAAGGGGACTCTAGTACACTGCTGGTGGGAATGCAGACTGGAGCAGCCACTATGAAAAACACTATGGTGTTACCTCAAAAAATTAAAAATTGGATTGCCATTCGACCCAGTGATCCCACTTCTAGGAATGTACCCTAAGAAGCCTGAAATACCAGCTTCAGAACACATCAAAACACCACCACCCAACCACCTCCACAAGTGGCACATTCAATGAGCAGACTCAGTGGATACGAGAGCCCTGATGAAGTAAGCCTTGCTCTGTGTGGTGGGCCCCTACACAGCTGATCCTCCAAGGAAGTCAGAGGCCAGTGGTCAGTGGGCACAGCCAGTCCTTGCAGCTTATCAGCCTGAGTAAATCCCTCCCATTGACTCAATTTCAACAGAAAGGTGGACAGTCCACACTAGAGGTGCACCTCAAGGGCCCAGCTGGGTGATCAGGGAGCCTGTGCCACTGGATCCTACAGGACACCTACAACAACAGACCACCCTATGACGCCTAGGAGACATAGCAACTCTACCTAGTATGTAGAAACAATCACAGTGAAGCAGCCAAAATGAGGAGACAAAGAGACATGGTCCAAATGAAAGAAAAGAACAAAACTCTGGGAAAAGAATTAAACAAAATGGAGATAAGCAATCAATCAGATGCAGAGTTCAAAACACTGGTTATAAGGTTGCTCAAGAACTTGGTGAAACATTCAAGGGACTTAGTGAGACCTTCAAGGAACTTAAGGAGACCTCCAAGGAACTTAGTGAGAACATCAACAACACAAAAAAGGACCAGTCAGAAATGAAGGACGCACAAACTGAAATAAAGAATAATTTACAAGAAATCAATGGTAAAGTAGGTAAAACCAAGATGCAAACCATTGTTGTGGACTATAAGGAAGCAAAAAATACCCAATCAGAACAGCAAAAAACTTCCCTAACTTGGTGAAGGAAACAGACATACAGTCCAGGAAGAATAGAGTCTCAAACAAGATTTATCCAAAGGAGGCCCACACTAAGACACATCATCATCAAAAATGCCAAAAATTATATACAAAAAGAGAATTTTAAAAGCAGCAAGAGAAAAGCAGTTATTTACCTACAAAGGAGCTCCCATAAGACTGTCAGCTGATTTCCCAAAAGAAACTCTGCAGGCCAGAAAGGAGTGGCAAGAGATATTCAAGGTGATGAAAAGCAACAACCTACAACCAAGATTACTTTATCCTCCAAAGCTATCATTTAGAATCGATAGGCATATCAGGAGTTTCCCAGACAAGGAAAAGCTAAAGAAGTTCATTACCACCAAACCAGTATTATATGAAGTGTTGAAGGGTCTTCTTGAAGGAGAAGAAGAAAAAATATATGAACAAACAAAATGGCAATGAATACATATCTATCAACAACTGAATCTACAAACAAAATGAGCAAGCAGAACAGAAACAGACTCATAGATACAAAGAACTTTTTGTTGCTTGCCAGATGGGTGGGGGTTGGGGAGATGGGTGAAAAAGATGAAGAATTTAAGAAGTACTAATTGGTTGTTAGACTGATGAACCTCAAAGGGAAGTGGGGAGAGAGGGTGAGATGAGATCAACCAAAGAACTTCTATGCATGTATGCACAACCAATGGACACCAACAATAGTGTGGGGAAAGCAGGGGAGTGGGATTGGGGAGGAGAGGGTAAATAGGGAGAAAAAGGGGGGATGTCTTTGATACATTCAACAATAAAGATAAGTTTTAAAAAATAATTAAAAGAATCATTTGACTTGTAAGTCACCTATGGAGTAATTCCATAAGACTTATTTGCTTCTAGAAAAACAACGTAAAGACAACATGGAACAGTTTTAGGCCTTTACATTCCACTGGACCACAGACATTTCAAAAAAAGAAAGAAAGAAACAGCAACAACAACAAAACTTGGACATTGAAAAAAGAAGGGCTTTTCTTTCTTTAGAATTTCTAGCTTTCTCCAAGTATGGGCATTAAAATGAACACTACCTGCACCACTACCATCTGTTACCATTATCTTTCATAAAGACAGAATATATCTGATATAAAAACTGTCAGAAGAATAGAATCCCACAATAAGATAGTCCTTTCCAGGATAAGAAAATAGGTGACCTTTCACTCATGTCCCATTACACTGTTCTTATTTGCCAGCGGTCCAAGAAGACCTGGTCGTGGACCATCATGCACATATCCAGGGACCAGCACTACGGAACCATGGTTACAGCTCTGGACTGTAGCAGTCTTCGAGGGGGAAGGCGGGGAGCATATTTTCTTCTCAAAGTCATCATTAGCACAAATCAGCAATGTTGTGCAAAATTGCTTCTCAACCTTTAATTTCAGAAGAATTGGACTAGAATTTGTACTTCTAAGTTATCCAAAATGGCCTCATATCAGTAAGGATATGTTTTCCTCTAACATATCCCTGAAAGGGATGGAGTCAATTATTTACTGAATCCATTTCATGACTAGACAGACATAGAGAGATTCTGTGTCCTTTTGGAGACACTGGGCTGCAATGATCTGGCA